TTGAGAGTTTGGCCTTTTGATTTGTGTATGTGTTTTATTTTTATTTGGAAATTGTTTCAGTGCAATTTGAAATTTGTGCTTTCCCTAACACTGAGAAAGCAAAAGGCACAGAGCTTCAGTTCAGGCCTATCTATTTGGAGAGGAAACTACTGACAACACCCAGAACCTCCAGTTTTTCAGATCTAAACACTGACAAAAAGCCTTCTCCCCTCACAGATGTTGTATGGACTTTGATACAATTGCTTAAGCTGGCACAAAGAAGGTGGGAGCTGAATTGCAGGTCTTTCTGTGAAACCCCTCCATCACCTGTGCCTTTATTAACCACAGCAACAAATGGTAGGGCTGGACTCTGCAGCTCGGGATTTTCTAAGGATGTATTTCTGAATAATGTGCTCTAAATATATATATATATATATATGCGCCAGAAGTTATTGAGCTCAGTGCAAGGGTAAGTAATACAAAATTCTGCCTAAAAGCACATTTCCACTCTGAACAGCCACAGATCACCTCTGTGTTATAAGCAAGGATAACAGGGATACAAATGGGGTTGCTTCTGTGAGTAATGCAAGTCTATGCCACTGGAGGAGAAGGAGAAGAGCTCTACCCCTGATTTTGCCATGGAGTTTTGAGTCCATCTGGTCTGCAACACCAAGGGAGACAGGAAATCTGTCCTGGTCACCCATTTAGCTACCAGCCCCCCAGCTCATCACTTGAGGTAGCAACATGACAAATTAGCAAGGGATTCGGTGTCACACGATGAATCAGGTAGAGCCATGAATCAGGTAGGGCTTTATCCAGGAGGGCACTTGTAAACAAGTAAGCTACACCAGAGCAATTCTTTTAGGGCCAATTATTTGAAAGTTACTAAGAAGATCAGTGAACAGATGCAGAGAAAGGCTGACATTTGGGTAGATTCTCTCTATTTAGCAAAGACAGATACAGAAGAGTTGGCCTGGCAGCAGCTTTTTCAATATAATAACATCACAGTGGCAGGAAATGCATGCTGCTTTCCGGCATTGAATTTCTAATTCTGGCATCTTGCTTCCCTCAAACAATTTTTGTCTTCTATGTAGCTGCACTAAAGCATTATTATCTTTTGAAAGCCTGGCTTGCAGCTTTTTGTGCTATAGCCGAACATGAGCATTTTTTGGCTTTGTAAAGAGTAGTATATTATTGCTCTGTCATCAGGGAAAATTGAGAAATTTCTTTTGAGACAGAGAGGAGTTGCAGAGGGAGAGAGGGAGGAAATAGAGCTCTGTAGCTTGTTATGGACTTGAGAGAGAAGCTCTGCTGTTTTTGTCAGAACTGTACAGCTCTTATATAATATTTTTGGGCAATAGCCAGCTCAGCCTCACAGAACTGTTTTGGTCAATGTTTTTGGAAAGTAGGAGAATATTTGGATATATCTGATCTCTATGAGTAGTGGAAAGAAAGACAAAGATGTAGCAGTTAGAGCTGCAGCCCACATACACGGCTTCTGAAGGCAGTCCTTGAGAACGTGATTTTATCAGTGATTCTTCCCTGGCTATGTATGGTAAAAGTATGACTGAATGCTTCCATGGCTAAGGATCCTAAAGAGTACCCAGTGAGCCTCTACATAGGGAGATAATATTTTGGGTTAACTGGCCCCCTGTACAGTCGAGGGAGTCCCTCTGTACCCAGCACAAAGTTTGCAGAGCTGGCCAGGAATAAGCATCACATTATATAAAGGAGCAGCAAAGTTGCAGGAAGCTTCACAATATTACAGCCCTCCTGGTTAGAAACAAAACAAACCATAAACATCCCACATTCCTAGTCAGTGCAGTTACACAATGTCCCCACCTCTGATCTTCCCCCCTCTATAACAATACGCCAGGTGTGGCCAGGTGAGCATGTCTGTGATTTGACAGGCCAGACAAAGTATTTGGAAATTGCTGGATAGCAGGAATCCTGAGCTCAGTGTATGCCAGCCACCAGAGACAAAAATACCCCAGCATTTCATAATACCTACAGTATTATTTATGGCTTGCATATTTACCTAGAGGGAAAGTGGAGGTTCTTCTGTTGTGAAATATTTTCCTACTTTAAAATTAGCACTGTTCCAGTAAATGCAGAAAACCTACTTGAGCTGCCCCATTGATGTTCTTCTCTGTTAAACCTGTTCTGGTGCGATAAATGTGGCTGTTGCTGTGTCTAAAGGTGGTTACTCCCTTCACCAGCCCATTCAGGCAAACTAAGCATATGGCAGTATAATTTTGGCTTGCTGAGCAGATGACTGATTTGAATAGCTTGAAATCTGTTTCCAATAACTGCAGTATCAGTATCAAGTTAGATTATTCCAGGATATACCCTAAGCAGCCAGCTGCTTTCGTGAGCAGGTCCATTCAGCTGCACCTTTGACACAACCCAGCACACTTGCCGTCATTTCACCTCCTGTGTCTGAGGCTGGTGTGTCGACATGTGCGTAGGGTGCTGGGGGACTCTTCAGTCCCCAAACACAGCAGCTGGCATCAGGAAGGAGAAAGGATGTGGTGAAAAGCCATTCCTTCTGGTGGCACTGAACCTTGAGATTGCATCATGCGAACAAGAACAGCCTCGTAAGCCCCTTTGTGCCTGCCTGGGGATTTGCGATTTCAATTTTTCATTTATGAGCTGTAGCCAAATTTAGATTTCAACCTATGACACTCCTTTCTCCGATTCGTTCCCATCTATATTCTTGGTTCACCCAAAATTAGCCAATGGCCCAATCTCGACTGTAACAGTCAAGGACTCAATTACAACTTGTGTTGCAATCAGGTCTCGGAACAAATGATTTCCGTTTTGTGGTATTGATGGGAACTGTGCCCATGAAAACTTGAACCCAGAGAAAGCCAGATGGTCCCATCAACTCTCTTGATGGGAGCGAGGAGCTGTGCTGGCAGGGCTGTTTCTGCGCTGTTGTGCTGGACTATTATGAGAGCAAATTTCGTTCTCCATCCTTTAACCCAAGCTCACATGCACATTTTTGGTGGGTGGCACATCTGGCTCTCAAACTTATTGTTTCTCTGACTGACAGTTGGCAGAGGTTGGTGGGTGATTTTCATGACAAAGAGGCTTTTGTTTGGTGCTCCTTTCCAGCTAGCAGATGAGAAGCAAAGGCACACAGCAATATTCAATGAACACAGCACAGCTCTTTCCAGGGATATTTTCTTTTGGATCTTTTTCTGTAACAGAAATAGCTTTTCCACTGAAGTGTACACATTTCTGGAGAATGAATATATATATATATACACATATATATAATTGGTGTTACTCCTCCAGAATAAACATAGATATTTTACGTTCTCCCTATCTGCTGGTAAGTCAGCTCAGTATGAACAGCTCCCCAGTAGAATCTCAGCACCGAGCTGAAGTTTCAGCCTCACATTCCCCTAACAAGCCCACACAAATTCAGCTCAGGTATGAAACTTATAAATCTGAACAAAACCAACGTCCCCATAGTGCTCTGAAGTAGGTAAAGACTGCCTGCTTTGTACAAAAATCTAGCAAAGAAAAATGTTTGCCCAAGGTCACAAAAGTATTCTGGCAGAAGGAAGAATAAAAAATAAAATAAAATAAAAATCAAACAACAACAACAAAAAAAAAACAACACTTGATTTCTTGTCTGCCAGTCTGCCCTTTAGGCAACTGAAGCAAGTACCCTGGGGATGGAGATATGGAAACCCCACACCAAACTGGGAATAGGAGGGGAAGAGAATTTGACATTATGACAGGACAAATATTCTCTTCCTCATGGGAACTGTATCTCTAAGGTCCCTTCCAGCAGATGCTGGAGCTCAAAGAAAAAGCTGATCTTTGTTCTTTTACCTCAGAAGCACTGGGATCCCACAGTCAGGCCCGTAAAAACCAGAGCACCGGCATTTCCCACCCCTTCACTGGCATCCCAGGAGAGTTCACATCTGACACCAATTACTTCATTCACTCCAGATGGTTTTCAAATACGTATCAGCAAATATTTAAGGAAATATTTAAGGTGTGTTTTTCCTTTTTGGGAAGAGTTTTCTCTACTGCTTAAAGAAATGGCCATTAGCGAGTGGGTAAGAGACGAAATCAGCAGAGAAGTCAGAAGAGTGGGTGATTTGCTCCCACACCTCGCTTCCTAAATCGCCTTGAGATTTTAACTGGGAAATGATGCTTTAGCACATGGAAATGCACGAAAGCAAAGCTCATTTCCAGGCGTTATCTGCCTGGCAGTGTCCCCTCAGGGCTTCCAGGCCCCAAATCCCAGCAGCTGGTGCCCATCGCTCCAAGTTCTCCCATCATTGCTGGCTGGTGGCACTGATCTGGCTCCCCGTGACTCCTTCCCTTCATGTCTGTTCACAGCACAGGTGGAACTAAAAGGGAGGCTGCCTTCCTGACAAAGGCCCTATGGGCAGGAAGGGGCTTCCAGCTCCCAAAACCAAGAAGCCAAGCAGTCCCTGCAGCACACCTGGCTCTGTGCTTCTCTCACAACCCAGCAAGCAACTACAGTCCTAGTTTGTACTGGGGCCCTCGAGGAGCAGCTAGACAACCCCACTGCCACAGCAGTGCCTGAAAGATCCATTTTTATTTGCCTTTCTCTGAGAAAACCTACACAAAACGACCAGGCCGCACCTGGCTGCTGAGAGGAAGAGCAGGCTGGTAAACCTGAAGCCCCTGAGGAAGCCTGTGACAGAAGTGCCTGGTACTGACAGCACTCTGGTTTTACAAGTCTGAGCCTGGGAGGGGCTGAGGATATGCAGTGGGAGGCAACAAGTGTCTAAATGTGGAAGAGCCCTGTGAACTGTTAGCCACCCTGCTGTCAAGTGATTAATCAAGACCATCCCGGGCTTGTCTGGATTACCGCTGTTGAAGCAATGCCTACAAAAACCAGTCCTGGGCTGAGCTGCCCTGTGCTCCCAAACACTGCAAATGCAGAACTGAGATGTCCTCACACAGTGCTCCTACAGAGGATAGCCTGTGTGCCCCCTCCCCAAAAACACAGCACCAGCACGGCCTCTTACCTCCAGCTGCTGTCAGTACGTGGGCTTGTTCAGGCTACAAAAAAAAATAAAATAAAAAAATAAAACACAAAACATCTGTAATAACCTGTTGGGATCTCTGGAGAAGACCCAGAGCCCCTCCTACACTGCATTTGTAAGAAAAAAAAAAGGCCCCATTGCATTGGCCTCAGAGGATAAGTCCTCGTAATAAAGCCTGGGCCTGCTTAACTTAGCAGGCATTAACACTGACAAGGGTTCAGGGTTCATCAGTCAAGCCAATTTGTCGAACATTACCCAGCTGTTGCTTATCGGGGATAATCTTTCCTCCTAGAGGAGGGCAGCAGCAGGCTAACTCACTTGCTCCTTTCTTGTATGAACTAGTTTTATCTACCAGCCTGTGCTCCTAAGGTATTATAGCGTTTCTGTTTAAAGGTGGTCACGAAGAGGAGAAAATATGTACCAGGGTCTTTCAGTTTTTATTCCATGATGCACCAAGGAGACGAGGAAGGCTCATTTTATTACCAGTACTGTATCCGTTCAGCTTCAGCAGCAGAACAAGTTGGTATTGTGATAGGGTAAAGCAGAGGGTTTGAGAGCAAAATAGTTGTGAAAGTTGGTTGTGTTTTTTTATAGCCCTGGTTTTTGTTTATTTTCCCAATACACACTTGGGAGAAGAAGTTGTGTGGGAGATGTCCTTGCCTCTTCCATCAGGAACTGGGAAGACTTTTACTCATTGATTCACTTGTGAAATTCTCCAGCAAAAACAACTGCCTGAAGCCTTTCAAAAACAGAATGCACAATATTAAAAGGAATCCGAAAATAACTCTTCCCTTGACAAAGCCTTCAACGAAGGCGGAGTAAATCGTGAGACCAGACTGCTTTAGCAGGGAACCATTAATGGAAACGGAGAAGGGGAAGGGCTGAGGGACTGTGCGTTCACTGAAGCATATGGTTACCAATTTGCTGGACATATGTTGCATTCCCCACAGGGCACAGGAGGACTTTTGGATTAAAGGGTGTAAATCATTGGTTATCAACATAGAATTAAGTTCTATTATAAATGTACAGAGTCTAAATATATACATTTTTCTCCCTGGAGATCTCTTCCCCTCGCTGTACTCAAAAACCGCAAATCACAATGTGCATTGCTTTTAAGAAAGAAAATGAAAATAACCGTTCACACAGACTTTTTTTTTTCTCCTTTATTATAACCACTTACTTTTCTTGGGTGTAGGGAAGGACAGAAAATGGGAGGCTGTGGGGGAGAGCAGGGAGGAAGTAGAAAGATAGAAAAAGTGTCTTGGGACTTTTTATCCCATAATTTCCAGTGGGAGCTATTGATCACAGATGTGCTTTTGCACCACAGCAGCACCTAATTATTTTTCAGGACCGTTGTAATACATGTTTAGGAATCTCTGAATAATAGAACCATATGGCAACATTGTCAGAAGGGGAAAATAGGAACCCAGTAGGCTGGGGGAGGGAGAATGCATTAAAAAGTGCTGGCTGTAAATAGAAAACGATTTATCAAAGAAAGAATGAGGAAAAGGAAGAAATGTGATTTTTTGAAAGATAAAGATTTTCTTCACGTTCCTTGGAGAAGATTCCCAGAATCTCATTCTTTGTTTCCCAGCCTTTTTGCTAGAGTTGTTCCCAGAACATCTGTCCTGTGAGACTGGGCATGGTGCCGTTGTAAAAAACTTGGAGGACTGAGGAGCAGTGCAGGAGATGATATGCACTGGGAGTAGTGGATGTGCCATCGGTTGAGTGAGGTATGAAAGCTTCTCCTGGTGTCCTGAAATGTACTGACATACAGGAAGGTTTCCACTCAGGACAGGGTCCAGCAAACGTTCTGTGGACAGTGGCTCTCATGGGATAGAAGCAGGAGAGGAGCATTCTGGACAGGAAGGCAGAGGACAGCATCTTGGGAGCTGGCTGTGCTCTCAGAAGCACATCCATACAGGAGCCTGGTAACCCTCATCCCGACCAGGGCCTTCTGCAACACCACCACTCACACCGTGCCTCAGTAGAAGGTGGATGAGCTCGCTGCAGAATGTTGTATCTGAAATGTGGTACCACATTTTGTGCTGTAGTGATGGTTCAGCAAGAGCCTAAGACCTTCTCCCACTGCACATTTCCAGCTGGTCTGTGGGATATCCCAAAAGCCCAATAATTTGAACTCCTCAAAATCTTCCCGGATAAAATACTCAGAAAGAAGAGGACTGCCTGAGGGGGAAAAAAAAAATAAATTGTTAACCATTAGGATCATGTGGAAACATTAAACATTATCAAAGCTAAGCTCCATTCCCCTGGCTTTAGCTACATCCTTATTGCAAAGTGGGCAGGTCGGAGCTTAGCTTCAAAGGCAACCTGGGTTATAATCTGCCTTGTCAGATGGACAAGAAAACACATGCTACAAGTATGTGAACACTAGCATAAGGGTTCTTTGTTTAAATTGTTATAGGATTTGGGTTAAGGTAGGTTTCCAGGAGAGCAAAGAGAAACACACACATGCTAGAAGCTTTTTTTTTTTTTTTATTAAACCACTCTGTTTGGGATTAAATGGCTCCGCATGCTACACATCTGCTTGGGCATTGCCCTGCAGGAAATCCATCCAGCTGAAATCAAGGCATCAGAAAGTGACTGGAGTGGCACACGGCAGTGGAAGGAGTCTCTCCTGAACAAATGGATACCACTGCAGTGATCGCAACGTCCCCAGCATGAGGCTGGGGCAGTGGTAATTGCGCAAAGTGCTCTTTGTTCATTATCCTTTACTGAAGCTGTGTTCTTGATTGTGTGTCTCAGAAAAACTTCAGGGCCACTTCTTTCTGGTCCTTAGTGAGATGCAATTTCCTCTCTCCTCCTGGAGAGTACATTTTAATCAATCTGCAAAGGACCAACAAATTTAATTGCCCCAATGAGCTAATTTTAGATCCTCCTTCCTGACTTCAGATTCACTTCAAATACACTATATAAATAAGAAATATAACTGCTAACAAGTTTAGGCTCTCATTTTTCCAAGGGGCACAGAGATCTTTGTTGCAGCTACATTCTTCTGCATATGGAAACAACTAAAGTCACAAATGATAATTGTTAATTATCTTCCTAATGTGCAGAGAGCATCAGGTAGCTGGATCTCCAGAGGGCATTCACTGCAACCACAGCTGACTGCAGGAACAAAATTGGAAACTGCCTCCCACGCATAGGCCCATAATGTCACTGAAGCACTGGAAAGGAGAAGGAAATATGAAGACCTGTGTTCCTCACCTTAAAAACAAAAATAAAAGCACCATAAGACAAAGAAAAGCCAAGAGAACTAACTACCTAGCTTTTGAGTAAACCAAAAATGAAATGACTACCCAGTCTATTAAAAAAGCTACATATGACATTAAGATATGTTGCTATTATCCTTTTCTTAAATAAATAAGCCTCAAAAGAAAAAGAACAACTCTTCATGCTTATTTTGTTTTCCTGAGCTACCTATAAAATAGGTTCTGGGCACAGAGAATCTCCCTACACCCCAGGCTGGTTGACCCTGCTAAGATTCAGTTTACTGCTGATAATTAAAGCATTGAAATGTTTTGCATAGACCTGTCTTTAACCCTGGCCCACATGAGACTCTCTGCACTGCCTCAGGTGAGGGCTGAGGAAGGTAGTGACCATGACATAGCAAGACCTAAACTCAACCATTTCTGCCTGTCGAGACCCAGATTTATTACTCTTCCAAGCCCTTTCCAGTTCAACATTATCGTTCTGTTTTTGCACACTGTTGCCAGCTTAATCTCCCAGTACCATTTACCTCTCTTTAGCAATTACCATTTGCTAGATTTCTTTTTCACAGCATGACTTTTGGAATATTTTCTTCCTAGATTTAGAAGCCTGCCTAAGCCAAACCCGAATGTTGTTTTCTGCCCAGGTTGTTCATCCTCTGAAATGTATTTGTATTGCCTTTTGTCAACACTAGTTGTCACAAAATCTCTCCCGTCTTACCATGATCAGCTTTATGTATTGTTGCTCAGGACAGAATAGGAAAATTTTAGATTTCCATCTTGGCACCAGAAGAGCCCGGCACACTGCTTGGGGCAGATGTGTTGCACAGGAAATACATTCCCTATAGACATTCTTAGATGGTAGAGTGGAAGCTGCATGTGACAGACCAAACTGTTTTCTTAATGATTCACAGAGGATTTGCATTTACAACAGACACCCAACATAACAATAATTACATGCCTACATCCTTAACAAGCCACACTACTGAGAAAGACTTCCTAGATGCATTTATCATGAAAAAGGTTGAAATGATAGCTTCTGCTGCGGCTGTGTTTATAAACCTGACCTACAGACACTCATTTGAGACTAAAAGGAGAGTTCCATATTTTATAGCTTGTTTCAGCATTAACTTATCACTTATTCTTTTAGGAGGGAGTCAACACAGTGAGAGGATCACAGCAAATGCCAACAAAAAGGGTATTTTCTCTAGATGTCCACGCAGACACAAAAAAGATTCAGTGCACTCTATGAAAAAAGCATACATTAATAAAGAATTTTATTTATTTTTTTTTATTACCTCATTGTGCCTGGAGCAACAAGACTGTAGGCTACAAGAAGAGAAATTCATTAGGCACTTTGTCTTATTTAAGTTTCCCTGTCTACTTGCAGAGATAACCCCATTCTCTGAATAATGGATCTACACAAGATTGCTTTAAACTCTGCAGCTGTAACACAGTCACCCTAGATAATATCTAAGGCTTTCTGGATAGACAGCAGTCAATCATTCTTAGTAATGATGTAAATTTGAAAACTTGAATTTCTTCAAATGGTGAAGGTGACAAGTGGATTCAACTAATTCAGCCTGCGATGTTTGGTTAGCTGTCCTTGGCCCACATCTGCCACCAAATTTTTCTGGGCACAAATAGCCTCCGTAGTGTTGAGGCTGGGTGCTTGTATATGCTCCCTTGGGATGCCAGTCTCGGAGTTCAACCGTCCCTGAACCTATTCCAGCACAGCTCATGTCCCAAGGAGATAACTTGCAGCGCAACTCTAAGAAAAGGCCATGTAAAAGCTCCGTAGGAGAGACATTTTGAGTCTGCCATGACATCAGTGGGCGTGCAACAATGGATTCACATTTCTAACATGTCAGCTCTGCTTAATAACTTTCCAGTTTCTTTTTTGTCACAGTGCTGACTAACCTGGCAGAGTTTAATAAAGCATGAAGCAGGGTAACATGATTGAAGAGCTTGAGAAATATTTCATCGAATACATTGCAATGGAAGTCATACTACTAACTGCTTTCACTCCCTCCCGTTATTTCCTGAGAGGGGGCGGATGAGGAGAAACTTGTTATTCAAAACGAGAAAGGGCCTTGAAAGCAAATTGTGTGAATCCCACAGTCCAGTAACTTGAAAGTCAGGCTTTATTTTAGAAGGTTTCCAGCAGGGCCACAGATCTGAGAGGGAAAGGAAGGGAGGACCTTGGGCCTACCCAGGGCCTTTCCTTCATTGATGGGTAGGCCCTGCCACGGTTCAGTGGAGAATCCCCACAGATGGGGGTTAGCCTGTATTAATTACAATCCTAATTTTCTACCCTCTGTGCTAATCCTGAAACTGCTTGCTCCCTAGAACAAAATCAGAGCTGGGACCTTCCCTCAAATTTCCTCCCTGTTCTCTACTTTGAACACAGCTATTAAGGTTTGAGGGCCTAAAATGTTTTCCTCACATGTACACAAAGTCATCTGCCTTTAGGGGCATCAGAAGGAAAATGGTGATGCTGTACACGGCTTTCATCCACTTCCCCTGACCCAGGTTATCCAGTCCCATAGCTCTCCATTTTGTTCTTGGCTTCTTGGATACTTTATACCCTGTGATGGGATCAAAGAACACTGGCTATGATCTACTGTTTTAAATTTCTCTGGTTTTCTTAGTAGGCCTTTTGCTGAGTAACGACTAATCCTTTAACCTTAGGGTCATAGTGAAATTGCCTTCCTTATTCTCATTGTCATTCACAAATTTTGAAAAGGAGAGAGAAAATAAAGAGAAGGAAAGAGAGAAATCAGAATACGACTTGTTTAGCGTTACTACCAAGATATACTGCAAAACTACAGAAAGGTTCACAAACACACCAAAACCTAGCTATGATTATCCAAAACAAAGCTGCTCCATGGGATTATTAATGACAATAAGGAATAAAATCACAATCAAGTTTGCACTGATAGCAGCTCCTACTTTGGTATCTTAGTGAAGAAACCTTACACACCTTTTAAGTAATAATTAATTTTTCCACAGAGAAAAAAATGAAGAAAAATCTATGATAGTTTAAATCAGTGATAGGTTTTGTTTTCTCTTGTATATTCTTAAGCGATTTCTATAGAATTAGAAATAGTTGACAAGTGTAACATTGCTTCTTTTTGCTTTAAAATAAACAGGGCCTACAATATCTTTGGGGACACAAAATATCATGTTCTGTACCAATAACATATACCTTCTAATTTTTCCTCTTCTTGAAATGATTTGCTTTCTAAGTCAAGCCTACCTAACAAGATCTTTCTACTTCTTGTATTTTAGTTTGCCTGAAGTTTCCATGTGTTCCCTTAACTTCCTGATTTACCCTGGATTTTACATCCCTTTTGAGGTTTCATACTAACCTACTTTCTCACACATTACTTCAGACTTTTCCCACAGCATAAAAATATATATTTATATTATATATGTATTTGCCACTAGCAGCTCAGAAAATCTACTGGTGCTCATAACATTAATTTCCTCAACAGTGACTCGCATACGTGACGTCTGCTATTATCTGTTCTGTCATCTCTAATTCATGCCTTACAGCATTATGATGTGTTTTCCCTTCCGCACAGATAGGCAGATACGGTTTGAAAGAGAAATGACATTAAATAAAGGGTCACCATACTGATCTCATGGCAACTGGGTAACTCCACAATGACACATCTTTCATAAGAACCAGAGGAGCCCTCTGTTTCCACAAAATATCACCCTTTCTTTAACTGGACTTTCTTCATCATCATTTGTTAGTTTGCTACAATCCCATTCAGTGCTGTTTTGTGTTTTTGTATCTGTGTGGATTTACTTAGTGGTCAAATGGGAAGAACTTGTCTATTAAAGCATTTTTAAAACGTGCTTATATTTCCAAAATAAGTTTTATTGATCTGAGGACCTCTATTCCCATATAACTGCATTTGCTATCAGAAGGATTACACCATGCAAATATGCCCACATGTGTACAGATATAGCTGTATTGGCACAGGCACTGTGCGTAGACCAGGCATAAGTTTATGGCCCATGCCATTAAGGCCCTTGAGCCCTGCTCTCACAGAGCTGGAGGTGTTAGGGGTGCCTGACCCCAGTCTTTGTCGGGCTGCTCAGCTCATTCTGCTTCCCAACAGTGGCTGCCAGATGTGCTGACACAGTGCACGAGTTCCTTCTGACTCACACCTTGCCTCAACAATCACAATTCTTCCTAGCTGAGGGCTCTGAAGCCACAGATTTTGGTAACGGACAAGATAAATAGCTACCTCCACTGAGAGAGTTGACTAAAACCTACCCATTGGCCTTGGTAGTATCGTATTTCTTGGCAGAAATCACATTGAATACCCGTGTTTGTGTGGCTGTTACCAGAAAACAGACTGAAGGTTCTGCCTTAAGGAACAGCAGTACACTAAACAAGGTTTTTCTTTACATTAGAAGAGTGGATAATAGGTGGTACTTAATAGACCTGAAGCAAGTAGTGAGAGCTTAAGATGTGATAAAAGTTTATTTATGGACACACAAATCAGTAACAGCAGCAATGTAAGGACAGATATCTGGCCCAGGAAATAACAACAGAAACACATTTCATGTTGTCACCTATTGTTCCTGCAGTCTCCTTAGGGCCTCATCTCACTGTCATCAGTAGCAACGTGTGCAGCTGTTAGCACCGTGTCTGTCTCTGCCCTCTGCTCCCCATTTCCCACTTCACTGCAACAAATTCTTCATGCTCTGATCATAACTCGGTAAGAGGAGGCACATTGCTCTCACTAACCCTTCTGACAGAGAGCACTTCACAGGTCTGGGTATCATATCCATGGACATAATGTTAGAAGGCATTACTGATTAAAAAAAATAAATAAAAATCCAGTAAAATCTTGGTGACCTAAAAAACAAGTCTAAGGCATCACCCATTCTCAGTGACCCACAGCCCTGGGGAGATAAGTTATCATGGACTAACATCACCTGGCTCTTCCAGTGAGCTGGTGGTAGGAGCACTGCAGA